TTCCGCTCTGCAGAGGGACGGGGCCTGACAGGCTGCCTCTCTGTCTTCCGCTCTGCAGTAGAGCAGCTCAGTTTCTGACTCCTCTCTGACAGGAGGAGAGTGTGGACGTCAAAGCCTTGAGGGACAGATTTCATGTGAAGACAGAAATGACTGACGTCAAAGGTGCTGAAATCCAAAGACCTCCGCTGCAGAGATTTCCAAGAGTCATTCTGCCACTTGGACCCGACCCTTCTGCAAATGGAGCTGCCAGACTTAAACCGACACCTGTTCTTCCATCGATGGCGCCTGGACCTCGTCTGTCTCCAGTTCCCCAGCTCAAGCAATCTGTGGCAGAGCCTGAGTCCCAGGGCACCGTGCGGCCGATGCCACCACTGGGTGTCTTCCCAAGACCGCCTCCTTCCCACCGGATTGTCTCAGTACCTCAGGAGACCAGAACATCTCAGCCGGACAGGGAGAGGCAGTCAGGGAGAGTCAAAGCTGCTGGGGAACTTCTGCAGAACCTATCGTTGAAGCAGCCAGCCGTGCCAGATGGACTGGTCACCAAGGCAGTGCTGCCAACCCCGTCCTCGATACGCAGCCAGAGGAACATGGCTGAAGTGCCCCCACTTCTACGGACCCTGCCTCCGGAGGGGATGCGGCCTCTCAAGCCTAAGCGCCCCCCCAACGTCAACCTGGATGCCTTCCGCAAAGGGTCCGCTGGTCCTCCCCTCCCTAGGCGGTCTACTCGAGAGAAGGCAGACAGTAAGGCTCGCTCGTCCTGATGTCAGGCTCAACTCATGGTTCACATCAGACAAGTAACATACACTGTTTCAACTCACTCTAAGTAACACGCTCTGTTCAAAAGTTTGGCGCATTTTAAGTTTGTTGCATTTTGCCTGTCACACCCCACTCTGTTTAATGAAAGTTTTTACTAGAATTTTTGGTGATCAACAGTGTAATGCATTTAAATGTAGTGGGAAAATCCACAAATATTTTCCTGTGCCTGCTGTTTTTACAGTATAACAGCACAGTGTAATGAGTCAAGGTGTGATTTTAATGGGAACGTTATTTAAAATTCAAACTTTAATCACGCAATGCTGTAATCTGGCAATATATAAGCACAAGTTTTTTGCTATATAAAAATACTCTCTAAGCATTGCCTCTTTAGATCGTTAGATTAACCTTATTGATTCCTGAAGGGAAATTAAGGTATAAACAGCAGCATTTAAAAAAGATGAAATAGTCCAAGTACAAGACGGATAATCCAGCAGCGTGTTGAACGACGAGCAGCACGAGGTTTAAAAACAAAGGATTTGAACATATTATAATGATGTTAGTATAATAGTGCTGTATAAATGGACTGTTCCCGCTTCTTCGTTCTCCAGCTGGTTCCGTGCTGACGGAGGTTCCTTGTTTCTCTCGACAGGACGCAGTAGCCCGGCCTCTTCTGGGAGAAGCAGCCCTTCTGCTCCACCACGGCCTCCATTTAAGCCAAGCTCCCTGAGCCTGCAGCACTCTGTCACGTCAGTATATGCCGTAATGCGCTTCCTGGGGTAGTTCATGGCTGAGTGGGCTGGGGTGCTGTGCTTATGTACAGAATGTTGTTGGTTCAAAGCCCAGACTCAGCAGAATGATTTGAGTGTGGCCCTTAAGACTCACTTCCCAGTTGTTGCTAGGATTGTCAGACCTTGGATCTCAGAAAGAAGCAGCTGCTACATAAATAAAATGTGCCGGGAGACCGATGTCAGCTTTTGGGCTCATTCCTCAACTTTACTTGAATCCATCTTTGTACTGTGCCGTTGTGCTGTTCATAACACACTTTCAAATAAGGAAGTTGAGGCCAATGTGTCGCCATAACAAACATTCTCGAGACTTCAAGGAAGAGCCATCTCTGAGGGAGGGGAAATGCCGCGCGCTGTGAGGCTGAGCGAGGCCTCTCGCTCCTCCCCGTGCGTTTTGGGATGGCGGGGGCCGCAGTGCAGGACGTGGCTTCCTTTCTCCAAATGCCTTTCGCTTTTCTAAGAGCGAGTTTTGCATCAGTTTGCAACGTTTCTAGTGCAGGATGCTGATGAGCCAGTAGCAAGATATAAGTGGTACAGAGATGACGAAGCTGTGGGGAAAATAAAGAGGGGAGAAACCAGCAGCTTCCTTTGAATGGCCATACGATGCTGCAGGAAAAAGACGGCAGCTGTTTGCTAGAAACCATCAGACAGTGTTTCTCAGTCCGTCCATGGGGGGCTCTGACGGTCTTTGCTCCCTCCCAGCTCCCTGCCAGATAGTCTTGGGGGTCCCCGAGGGCTAGTTTGAGACGCACTGATTTAAATGATATATTTTGAAAAATGTCTTTAAATGTGGAGTCCAGTTTTTTTCGGCTTTTACAAACGGCTGCAGACTTCGGAATTTGTCCCTACTCTTTCTACACAGGGATTATCATTCAGTCATGTGACCTTAGTGCCCTGTTTCCAACGTTGTTCCTCTGTTTTCCCCTCTTCACTGTACAGACACAATGAAGACGACCAGGAGACGTATGACGACATTGACGTTCTTCCCCCACCCCCGCCGCCCCCCCCATTTTACAAAGGTAAAGCTAGACCAGCTGGACACCCTCACTGATGCTGTCTGTGCAGCCAATGGAGCGCAGAGCTTTCTGTAGGATGATGGGAGCGGCAGCAGCTGCAGGGCGGCAGGTTCCAGTCACGCCTCCACCCTCTGTGGACTTTCATATACATCTGTATACCCTGTGATGGGTTGGCATCCTGCCCAGGCTATAGCGCTGCCTCGTGCCCTGTGAAGGGCTGGCATCCTGCCCAGGCTGTAGCCCTGCCTCATGCCCTGTGATGGGTTGGCATCCTGCGCAGGCTGTAGCCCTGCCTCATGCCCTGTGATGGGTTGGCATCCTGCCCAGGCTGTAGCCCTGCCTCGTGCCCTGTGATGGGTTGGCATCCTGCCCAGGCTGTAGCCCTGCCTCGTGCCCTGTGATGGGTTGGCATCCTGCCCAGGCTGTAGCCCTGCCTCGTGCCCTGTGATTAGCTGGCATCCTGCCCAGGCTGTAGCCCTGCCTCGTGTCCTGTGATGGGTTGGCATCCTGCCCAGGCTGTAGCCCTGCCTCGTGCCCTGTGATGGATTGGCATCCTGCCCAGGCTGTAGTCCTGCCTCATGCCCAGAATAAGCAGTTAGTAAATGCATGGATGCTCGAATAATGGAAGACATCAGACATGTGTTCATAGTTATTCATTATATACATTTTTTCTTCTTCCAAACTAAGAATAATAGTTTGGAAAATAAAGTAAAGCAATCACATTTTCTACAGATAAATAAAAATACAGATTTGAGCAGTAATATTTCTGCAGGGTCCTCATCTTGCTGCTGTGACCACAGTTTAGTCTTGAAGGCATTTACATGAATTCCCTTGTACTCTGTACATGTAACATGTTAAAGTTTTTATATTTGTTTTTTTTTCCATTCACAGACTCACCGCAGCCAGCTGAGGTAAGTTTCCGTCAGTCTGTAGGTCATACAGCCTCTAAATATTCCTGCCTTGCCGTAATCACTGGTGCAGCCCGGATTGTTTTTCGACAGGTATTGCCCTGAAATGTTTGTGTATTGCGCTGCTAGATGTGTTTCTTATTTAGTGTGAAATATTTTTTATATTCCACCCTTCAGTTTCTATTCCCTCTACTGTGTATAATATTTTCCCCAAAATGTAGATTTTAAGTATCCTGGGGGGTCTTTACTGTCATGGCTTAATACATAATAGATATAAAGTTTATATAAGAAATGTGTGTATAAAAATCTATACTTATAACATGTTATAATTTAAAGAAAACTATAAAGTGATGTGGAAATATTTCACAACAACATAAGAGAAATGTAAAAGAGTTTATGGTTAGGTGGGGGTTCATTTATCATTATATAATCCTGTTACTGGCAGCCAGTGACTGACAGTTATGACACTGCACTGCACGATTAACACAGTGCATGAATTTTTTTCCAGGAAAGTGATGGAGGGGAAATCTATGAAACAGCTGATGAGTGAGTTAAACATTTTCAGTATATTCTGTAAGAAAAAATACAAGAAAAAAATATTATACTAAGAAAAAAATATTATAATTAAAAATAAGAATACATTTTCACATTATAATTTAGCCAGTACTATTGCCCAGTGGAAATTGTGATTTGCGACTGGGGGAGGTGTACATGACACAATGATAAAGTCACGGTGTCGCATGTCCAAGGCTGAGACCTTAACACAGGGACAGTCCTGCTGTGCCGCATGTCCAAGGCTGAGACCTTAACACAGGGCCAGTCCTGCTGTGCCGCATGTCCAAGGCTGAGACCTTAACACAGGGCCAGTCCTGCTCTGCCGCATATCCAAGGCTTGGACCTTAACACAGGGCCAGTCCTGCTGAGCGCGGAGACCCAACCAGCTGCCCTAAACATCCTGATGGCTTTTCCCCGCAGACCTGAAGATTTTACTGAGCCTCCTGCCATCAAAGAGCGAATGCCTAAGGATGTGAGACAGCAGCCTGAACTGGGAGTAAAGGAACAGAAGGAAAGACAGAAGAAGGAGAACGAGTACCGCAAAAAATTTAAGGTCTCGTTTTTGAGGCATAAATCACAGCATATTTGCTGGCTGGTTCATTTCTCGGTTTGAAAATGTGCTCCTGGCATTTTAGGGTTTCAGTTTCATAAACCTCTGAAACTTCTAATTTCCCATGAACTATGTTTATATGTCTCCTGTTAATGTGGCACTGAGTAGCTCTTCTCTACGGATCTGTTCTTAGCTCCCAAAGGACGTGGAGGTCCTTAACATAGCCAGGGTCACTCGTGACTACCAGGGCGGGAAGAGCGACCTGAGCGTGCGGCAGGGGGACCGAGTGGAGATCATCCAGGTGAAGAACACCCCTGAGGGCAAGTGGCTAGCAAGGACAATGGCCGGCAACTGTAAGTCAGATACAGCGACCTACCTGCATCTCAGACCTGCAGTGTTCCAGTGAAACAGAAGTAGCTTTTGTATTAACCCAGTGCCCAGTGTTTCCCAACCCTGGTCCTTGGGGGCCCACAGACAGTCCATGTTTTTAGCTGGAAGGTAGCAAAAAATGTGGATTATCTGGCAGGGAGTTGGGAGGGAGCAAAAACATGGACTGTCTGTGGGTCCCCAAGGACTGTGTTGGGAAACACTTCCTTAACTACTTAATTTCTCCACAATGTGTTCATTGGTACATCAGTAACTAACTGACACATACAGATGAGTGCTTTATGGGGAATGTCTGCTATATCTAATTAGCTAGACAAACCAGTCACTAAAGCAAAATTACAGGTTAACCCACCCCAAATGGCTGACCTGTACCAGACAAGTGTTCCGTTTCGGAATTAGGTCACCCTAATTGATTTTTATTATTAAAGCAATCACTCATGAACAAATCAATACTTTTTTCTTTCAAAATATCAGTATCGTTGTGCAAATTCAATGTAAGACATATAGCTTCCTTTCAGAATAAATTGTATTAGCCCACAAGATCGCCCGAAGGCCTTTTAGCAGAAGGAGGCTGGGACGTAGAATTCGAAACGGTGCAGGATGTGCTCTCGCCGTGTTAAAAGCACGGTACATGGTTAACCAGATAGGTTAAGCAAGCATAGAATTCAAAAGTTGATGCCTGTATTAATACCTATAGGAACAGGAAGAAGTGCTACACAAATAAATCTTAATACGTTTGGGGAAAAAACTCGGCCAGGTGACCAAAGCTGGCAGCCCTGCATGTGCAGTATGATAGATTGGTGATCCGGTATCAGGCAGAATCATTTTATCTTGTACATCAGTTATGTTTTAGTCATGTTTATTTCTGAAACTGCATCCTAAATAGTGTTAGTCTTATTTTAAATGATGAAATCATTATTATTTTAAAATAACTTTAAACATCACATCATGTCCACATCTCATATGTGCCCATTGCGATGTCTAAATATAGCCCCCCCCCCCCCCAATGTCAAACTCCTTCTGATGCCCTCGATGGTGAGCTGAATTGCTAGAAATCTAAAGAGCTATTTCAGGTACCCAACCGTGCAATTGATTTTGGGATTACGGTCACTGTCCTGCCGGCTGATTGTGTTGAAAGCTTTCTTACCTTCTAACTGCCAGGTTCCAAGATCAGATATTTATTTCACTGGTGCCTGTGCCTTTATTGTTCTTGCATGTTCTGGTTCTTGTTTGAGCCACTCTGCAGTGTGTTGGTATCTATAGAACACTTTCAAACCCAGCATTCAAATGAAGCACACCTGCTCTCAATATGAAAATCTTGCATTGACATATAACAAACAACAGAGTATAGATATGACCCCCCAGAGAGAAACACCTTTCAGACCACCATCAGCCAATTCTTAAGAAATGCAGTTACGCATGATGAAAATAAAACAGTTGACCTAATGTCTGCACTTTGCCTCAGATGTAAAGAGCCACTCGTCAGTAGCTGTTAACCTGTATTTGTAGACGGCCAATACCTGTTAACCTGTATTTGTAGACGGCCAATACCTGTTAACCTGTATTTGTAGACGGCCAATACCTGTTAACCTGTATTTGTAGACGGCTACATCAGCAACACCTGCGTGGAAGTGGACTATGAGGAAGTGAAACGGAGGCTCCTGTGCAAACCCAGCGATGTGGCTTTCCCTGCGCCACCCCCTGCGCTGCCCCCTGTGCTGCCCCCTGCGGACGCCAATGACCTCTATTATGATGTGGGCACGTCGGACCAGCTGAACAGGTCACCTGCCGTCACTTTCATACATCTTCAGTAAATTGTTTAATGCTGGCATGATGAATTCCAAACAGTCTGGAAGGTTAGATGGCCAGTGCGCCCAGTCTAAACAAACCTTGGTACCGTTTTGTAAAACTTGTTTTGTTTGTTTTTACAGCAGTGAAAATTTGGATGAAGGTAAGAAAAGTGTGGAAATTTACTGGTTTTGGCTTGAACATACATAGAAATAAATTTGAAACCACATGGATAATTAGACTGAATGATATTTGTACCGTTAACAGATGTGTACGACGATGTGGATCCCTTGTCAGACATGTTCCCCCCCCCACCACCAGAAATCAGGTACATCCAAACATTTGAAGTCCCTTTGCAGTAATAGATGGTGCCTAATGGAGAAACACAGGCACTGGATCCTGGCGTCATGATTAGGTCTGAATACAGTGAGTGTGGAAACTGCAAGTGTCCTCTATGCAAATCCAGACAGTAACATGAAAATCTGTGCAGTTGAACTATTAAAGTATTATAAAGCTGAATGTGTTACGTCACTCATACTGTAACTGGGCATGGTAGCTTTATATTCAACTGCAAGAATTATGCAATAGTAATCAATTGAGCCGCCCATGTTCCATCCCGCTACAATATGGATATTACCAGCAAGCAAGCACTAAAATCCAGCAGTTGCAGATTCCTAAGTAAATTTTTAATTAAACACATCAGCAACAATTCTGGCAAGTTGATGTGCTAAATTCACATAAAAGTCTGGAATGCAGAAGTCAGCCCTTCAGAGTTGTGGTATCAGGCTGAAAACGTGCTTGCATGTTAAAGCTTGATTCTTTTTTCCATTCTAGTCTGGATCTAAAGAAAAGCAAGAAACAGGAGAAGGAAGAAAAAGAATTTAGAAAAAAGTTTAGGGTGAGTCTTTAATATTTTATTTAGTACAATCAGAAGCAAATGGGATCATGCACTAAATTGTTCAAGTACAAAGTAATATTAGTATGTTATTATGTGAAAATAGAAGGGCTAATTTTGATGTATTTTACAAGATATTTATATGTAATCAATTTGTAATTAGTCTAATTTATTTATTTAATCTATTTATTTATAGCCCACAACCAGTTAATATTAGCTATCAACATTAGGCATTTTATGCAGAAGAATCTTTAACTCATAATATCTATAAATTATAAACATTTCTGTATATTTGGCTTCTTCAATTGGGTGTTTAAAAAAAACATAACAGTACATTACACATTTCTGGATAACGTTTAACTGATTGGTCAATATTACATTCAGTATTGATTTTTAACGCCAAGTCAGATTAATTTAAAAAGCATCTTTGATTAAAATCCTATGTGTTTTGTGTGTCCACCACCTAAACTGCTGTAATGAATCACTGAAGCATTTGCAAGACAAAATTCTGTTTTTGTGCTGTTAGTTTGAAGGACCTGTACAGGTGAAGTATAAGATGATGGTTGACCCAAACACCACCACGAAGAAGGGAAGCGGGAAGGACCTTCCTCTGAGTCCGGGCGAAATCCTAGAAGTCATTCAGTTTGTGAACGACAGGAAAGCGCTGTGTCGTAATGGACAGGGGAAATGTACGTGCAAAGACTGCCCTCTAGTGGCTTAAATCAGCAATTGATATTCTTTTGGTAGCTAGAAATATTGAATATTGCGCATAACTTAACACAGTAAAACAATATAGTGAATTGTAATGGCTTTACGGCAGCATAATTATCAGTTTCTTGAGGGATTATTCAGTGTTCCGTTATTATAAATTATAACACAAAGAACTTGTATGTTTGATATTGATAATATACAGTGGACCCTCGAGTTACGAACATACGGACAACTTGGGTTACGACCAAAATTTTAGTTTGAGTCTGAAAAGTCTTGAGTTACGACTCGAATGCCGGTCGAGGCCGAAACGTGTATCCGCCTGTGCGGCTGTAAACAAACAGCCGTGATGCCCGAGAGGCGCCTGTAAGCGTCAGTCTGAGCCCAGATACGCCTGTTTGTGGGCGTCATTTCGGTCAGTGCAATACTTTATATAATTAATTTCACTAATTGCTATCAAAATGGCCCCAAAAAAAGCTAGAAAAGAAGCTTAGGAAGGAAGAGAAAGTAAAGAAAGCAATCACAATGGAAAAGAAGAAGGAAAATGTGCAGAAATACGAGAGTGGCGTTCGTGTGAACGATCTCGCTAATATATACATCATGTCGACATCCACCCTCTCGACAGTGTTACAAAGAAAAGATTTGTATGAGGAAGCTAGTGTTGCTAAAGGTGTTACTCAATAAGTCACGATCAACAGAGTTAGACGAGGTAGAAAGGCTATTATTAGTGTGGATAACTGAAAGGCGAGTGAGTACACTAGGAAAATTATTGGTGTTTCTGGTAAATTACGCACATTATGCAAAACTTTTTTTATTATGAAAAGGTTAGTTAGGTGTTTTGGGAGATTCGGATCGCATTATGGGTATTTTCATTATTTCTTATGGGAAAAATGGTCTTGACTTAAGACCGTCTTGAGTTACGACCAGCCCTCACGAATGGATTGAGTTCGTAAGTCAAGGGTCCGCTGTATTAATTTATTGGAAATTATATATTGATTAAAAGCTAGTCCTTGTTAGGTTTGAACAATGGAATGGATTGTCTAAATCCTCCCTCTCCCCTCTCTTTTAATAGATGGGTATGTGCCAAGGGCACTCCTGCTGCAAGAGTGAGTATGAGTTTTCATTCAGGGGTCTGTCCAGTCAGGATTTTAAGCGTAGCCTTTACACATAGACACACTGTAACTCAGGACTAGCAGCAAACTGGTCCCCCATCAGTTACATCATGACCAAATTTCTTTGACTGGCTCAGACACCAAGCTTTCTGTGAAATTTTGAAAGACCTTATGCATATTGCTAGATACATGTTTGATCTAACATGATGTTTATTTTTGATGTGTCATTTCTTCATGTGAAATATTTTTGTGTTATTTTGCAGGGAAGGGGACATATATGATGATGTTGATAGTAATAAAGGTCTGTTATTTCAAAATTCTGATTCATATTAAGAGGTATATGTAAAAACAGTTATTATATATTCATAATTGTGTTTCTAAGATTGCTGTTAGACCAGGGGTCACCAACTCCGGTCCTGGAGGGCTACTATCCAGTAAGTTTTCTATCCTACCTGGCTTCTGATGAACTACACCTGCTCCTGGTATTTACCTGAGAACTAGTATGGCTCATCTGAAGCCAGGTAGGATAGAAAACTTACTGGATAGTAGCCCTCCAGGACCGGAGTTGGTGACCCCTCTGTTAGACTAACAGATTACCAACTTATTTCCAGCATGAGATTAGATCAGTTTTAAATAGGCATACAAATAATAATAGAACTGCTAGCACTGAGAAATCAAGCCAATTGAATCTATTCTGTGTCTGTCTGTGCCCCAGATGTCTATGACAATGATTCCAGCACCACGTGAAGAGCTTCCTGTGGAGAGATAACCCCCACGCCTGTGAATGGGTCTTTTTTCTTACCATGCAACCTGAGACTATTCCCTTTTTTAACAATGATGTGAAGAAGACTAGATTAACATGCAGACTGCACAGCCTCCAACAGTCCAAACATGTAAAAAGTATTCATGACAACCATTTTGCTTTTTTATACACTATGAAATTGTCATCTTTTGTATAGTACATTGAAGTGCGTAACGGATAAAAAAGCAAATGGGTAAAATTAAAGCCTATTTTACTTGTACCTAATTTATTTGCATGCATTTTTGTTCATAATAGCTGAAGTTGAATTACATTTTTGTTTTTTTTCCATCAGTCACAGATATATTTGTAAATGTTTTGTATGTGTGTTAAACAGAATTTCAGTCTGCCAGAAAGTGTTACTCAGTATTAAATACAAAAACGATTGCCCATTAATGAATGATGTGACTACTGTGTGTTTGCTTTGACGTTATATTATTGCAATATAACAATTAAAATGAGAATTTATTTAAATGAGTTGTACTCTGTTTTCTTTTAAACATATTGCTTCACCAAAGAGTGGACATATTCTATGATCCTTCCATTGTCTTCATGGACGGGGAGGCAAGAGGGCACGGGACAAAGGCGTAATGTTTATCCCAAGCCACAGACCGGTTGTCACACACAAATCACACACTAAAGAAACCAGTTAGGTTACGACCCACAAACTTATATTTACTTAGAATTTATTTAGATATACTGACCAACACGATGGAAGTGGCATTTTAACTTCTTAATTTATAGAAAAAGTCCAATACATCCCATCTGCCAATGCGTCTAGTCCCATATGGGAACCTGCTCACTTAACGCAGGGAATTCTACTTCACTTCCGGTTAAAACAGCTACTTTTATTTTGCAAACCTTTAGCAGGAAATGTTTCACACGGAAGCACGAGTTTAGTGAACGTATGTCAACACTACTGTGTTTTCTTCCCGTCGGTTGTTATGACGATTTGCATTGCAACGACTTATTAGCTGGGTGTTAAATCAGGTGCGTGTCAAGTTTAAATCACACACTGTATGAACAAATTCCTCGCGCAGAGGAGGAACGCATTTTCGACAGTGAAAGAAAAATTTAACTGTACTGTCAACGTACGGACATGCGGGATAAATATAACATTAATGAAATATCTGTTTTAAAGTTAAAAACATTACTAACCGTACGACCTTCAGATGGATCAAATCTGCTGCTCCTACGAGATATAAATTATGTGGTCTCATTCTCCATGCTCAACTTTCAAAGAATAAATTGAGACTGTTTTACAACTGTACGACCTGAATCGAACTGATACTACGGCATTTTAAAATAAACTACAATTTAAGTGAAATGCAAATTCCGTTAATTTTGGTACTCATTCCATAAACCCTCACATGGTGTAGCGCTTTCAAACTATCAGAATCCAGCCTCAAAAACGCTACAAGACCCACGTAATGCGGTTCTCAACACGGATGTACTGTATTATCTGTAATCCAGCAAACAGCTTGACGTACATGTGCAAAACTAGCGCAGACCGACTTCATCCAGGCCCGGCAGCGTACTCCTCATTCTCTGTACATGCAGGAAAAATATCTAACAATTTACCCCTAGGGGAGGGCCCCGCTCGGCCCTCGATGACGAATGCGTACGTAATAATAAACCCCTCTTTTTGCGCACCTCGCGTGCTACACATGACCTTCCCTTAAAGCGACAGTGAAATAAAACTAGTGGTACATACAGTTACAAGGGCTCTGATCCTGCTTTAACAATGACTTGGCTATTCCCCGGACTTCACATACACATACATATAGATTGTCCTTGTTCTAGATTTCCAACACTAGCCTAAGTGTTTTCTCATTAAACTTTTAAAAATAACTATTTACGTTAATGGAATATTGATAAAATTCGTAGGAATTATAACCAACGTTATTAATTTGACTTTTAGTTTGAAGATGCGGCCACCACTGACCGGGAACTGGAACTGACTCCGGTTTTTGCAGGTTTCAGCTTTTCAGTCATGGGTCTCGTTTCAAAGTTCAGTGGCTGTAGAGGAGTGTGGCATTTACACCGGATAATATTAAGTCGGTAGATGTCGTGCAAATACTGAGCGACGTAAATAAAGAAATACGTAAAAAAAAAACAAGGTGAAAATGCCAAATTCATTGGAATCGCTAGTAAATTTGCTTGAGTCTTATAGGGGAAGAGACAAAGTGGTAAGAGACTTCTTTTATAATTTCACCAGGCGAAAGCAATGTAAGATGACAGGGGTTGCAGTTATTATAATAATTTAGAATATGCTAAAAAAAAAAAACTTCCCAAAGGCTGCATATATTGACGCATTACTTCTGTTTCATTGTTAGATTAGAATTCTATGCTACGGGTCCCTGTTAGCTGGTGGGATCGTTTCCCGGAGAGGATCAGGATCGTCACAGCTGGGAAACAGACTGCTGCTGTTTTCATCCCGGCTCAGCGACTGTCGCACTGTCCTGCGTCTCTTCGATGACCTTTCCATGTTCGCTTACACTTGGAGTTACGGCTTAGGCGTCTCTGTAAGGAAAAATCAGTGCAGTGCTGACATTCTTTATATTTGAAAAACAAAACTGGCCTTTAAAATTTTTATATAACAGCGACATGTGATATAACTTGTTGCTCTTGGTTTTTGCTGTGAATGATCTTTGGCGTACCTACTTAGGAGGAAGATGCGGGGGTGCGCTGGATATGCGTGATTAATAATCTGGCCGATCAGTTGTACTACCCATTGGAGCACATCGCATGGGCTGCTGATGCTCGGCTCATCGGTGTTAAGTCCGCGAGGTGGTGGACGCTGAGCACGTTGATGTGGGCCGTATCGCTGCTGATGAACATTCTCAGGTGACGCTTCCAGCCTCGGCGAGCTGCCATCTGGCAAAACGCCCGAAAACAGAACTTCTGCTCACACGTTCAACTACCTTAACAGAAGATCCTGCTCTCTTTAGGTCAGTCAGAGTCATTCTGCTGCTGCGGAAGAAGCTGAGGAAAAATGGGAGAACCAATCAGAGAAAGGGGAGGTGAGCCTAAATCTTTCAGAGATTTACTTATCTAAAAAAAAAAAACTAAACATCAAATATGGCCAGTCTCGAACAGAATCTGACAGGACCAGTTTGATTAAACTTTATATGTTTTTCACCCTGATAGTTTCTGCATGGCTACAGAAAAGTGTATTACCAACACTTTTATAAATCGGTAGTCGGCACCTGCAGCACAGGGGCACACCCTGGGTGGGATACCAGCCTGTCTAGGAACATTTATTTTTTTATCAATATATTTTTATTGTTTATAAGAAAAAATAAGCTGCAGAACATACACAAGAACAATTTTTAGTTTAATCCTATTTGTAACAGATAATTCCTTCAATCATCAGAGCAATTCTATGCTACTGCTATATCATTCATCCTATGATTTATATGAAGTTAAAAAGTCTGATATTTAGCCGGCAAACTCGGCCTATGATAAAACTGATTTGAAATGTGGACCTTTTGTACATTGAAACCCTTCATGGACTCTTTGTTTCAGTCTCAGTGAGGCCGGGGTGAGCAGGAGCACTGAGGTGCAGCAGCAGGTGCACAGCGAAGTCCTCTCTATCCTCTCCAGTATGGCCGACCTGAGCAATGCCATCCATTGGCTGCCTCCGGGTTTCCTCTGGTCCAGCCGCTTCCCTCATTGGCTAGTGGGACTTCTGGGCACAGTGTCCTCTCTGATTGGCTTATACCAGACATATTCTGGTGGAGGGGCTAATGGCTAGTATTTGCATTTTATGAAGAATGATTACCTACTGCAGGGTTATTCACTCACGGTCCTTGAGGTCCGAGCACTGCTGGTGAAGCCTCTGACCAATCAGAATCAGTAATTATTAAACAACTAGCTGGGAGAACTGAAAACATGGCCTGGATTTGGAATCGAGGTCCAGAGTTGAAGAACCCTGGCCTACTGCCTAGCCTCTAATAGAATGTTTTACAGTTCTCATGGATACTTGGGTTCCAGCCTTTCATCATAAACTTTGTAAAACACTGTAAGCAGTGTAAATATGTTGTTTTTTCAAATTACTGTTCTATTTCTCTTTTTTGAGATTGCAGTCTTTTTATGACACATATTGTTAAATAACATTACAGAATGATCATAAAATGTGTGTGCATATGAGTTGATTTAAATAAATGTCTCTGAATAAGCGTGTTTCACATTGCTCTTAATTGCTGTAAACAATAAAACTGATGTACTGATTGCACTTCAGTTGTCATTATAACGTTTGCAATAATTTTAATAATGTTATAGATTCCACCTGCCCTCAACAGGAAAAGTAGTTGGATGATGAATGGATGGATTCATATATGATTTTGAATTACTGAGTAGTTACATAAATGCTTTCTTTTGACTGTTTAAATGATTATGCCTCGATGTTTAATCGTATTTTATGACACATTGTGTGTTTAGCAGGATTTTTTCAGATTTATCTGACAATAGAAACTTTTTTCACTAGTTATTATTTGTGTAGTTGCCGTATAGCTGTTAATAATCTAACAGTTTTCCCTGCTGTTTCTGTAAATATGTTAAATTATACTTGCTCATTAATAACTTGAAAATTAAATAAATTTCTATACAGTGGATCGTAATCCTTGTGTTTGACGATTTGGCAATGGATTGGACAGGACTGGTAGTCGTGGTGCGCATGCGCACACCGTCCGCGAAACCTGGTGATAGCACAATGGAGCGAGCAGCCGGAGTAATGTTTTGACCGGTAAGTGTACATGACAAAATGTTTTTTCATATCATGGGGAAACACTTTTTTTCCTCTCTAGAAGCATGGTGGATGTTTTCAGACTGTATTGCAAACAGTCCAGTAACTGGTGTGCTGGTATTTGACTAACGAGCTAGTTCGCTGGATCATTCCCAAATACGCCAACTTTTATTAGTGGAGTTTAAAGTTCAGAGACGTCCACTTTGCAAATTTCAATTTGTCATTAGTTAGACCTATAGGGAATGCATGCGGATTATTTGCTTTATCTTTATTGACAATTGTTGTCGATTACTTTGCTACCTTGTATTTATCGTCGTATTAATACTTGTTTTTGTGTTATTTCTAAAGATTTTCTTTTAAACTTTATGCAGTGGTTCCATATTTTATGCAGTGGAATCGCCATGCCAACACATTTCAACAATGTTTTTTTATGATTTTGCCAAACTGATGCTTTTAAGTGACTGCTCACCGTGCCTGGTATTCTGTATAAATATTTTGAAACGGACCACGTTTTCAATTGTGTAGCTATATCGATTTATTGACTATTGGGGAAATTATTTTTATCGTTGTTTCTTTATAATGAGAATTCATTCTTACCCTGTGTTTTTACACTTGCAGCTCACAGGACTGTCATTAGCCTTCAGGTGAGGCAAAGTACTGAACAGTATTTTAAGTTGTACAGTAACATTATGTATAGCCTATGCTAGTATCATTCGAATCAGTCATTTATTTAACAAAATACTTCTTCTTTGAAAAAAGTGACTATTAAGTTCTATAATAATCACAGGTCAGCTAGCAAACCATAGTTAAAATGGAATAATTTATCATCACCTAAATTTGTTTACTTAGCGTTGATTGTAATGGCATGATGTCTCAGACAAAGACCAACTTCAGTTAAGGTGTCTGCATGTAATATTCCTGGAATATTACATTGTTCTTTGGAATCCTCAGAATCAGGATATTGTTTTGACATTCAGTATTTACATTGTGTTTTTTTTTTTTTTGGAATATGCTTTAGATGTGGAGTCACATTAATATATTCGTGTTTGTGTAAATGTAATCAGTTAG